GGAATGGTATAGCTGGATCTTGAGGTAGCACTATTCCCAATTTTCTGAGAAAGCGCCAGATTGATTTCCAAAATGGTTGTACAAGTTTACCTTCTCACCAGCAATGGAGGAGGGGTCCCCTTTCTCCACATCTTCTCCAGCATGTGTTGTCACTTGAGTTCTTATCTGAGCCATTCTAATAGGGATAAGATGGAATCTCAGGGTCGTTTTGATTTGTGTTTCCCTGATGAGTAAGGATATTGAACATTTCTTTGTTTCTCCGCCATTCGATATTTCTCTGTTGAGAATTTTCTGTTTAGCTCTGTACCCCATTTTTAAATTGGATTACTTCAACAAATGGTGCTGGTCTAATTGGATGTCCACATGTAGAAAAAATGCAAATAGATCCATATCTATCACCCTGAACAAAATTAAATTCCAAGTGGATCAAAGATCTCAACATAAAACCAGGCACACTAAATCTGTTACAAGAAAAGAAGTTTAGTACCTTGCTATCCACCTTCCTTTTCCTCCTGTCCTCCTAACCTTGGAGCCTCCAGCGACCCCTATTCTATGTTCATTCATGAGTCAATTTGTTTTGCTTCTGATGTATGAGCACATTTGGTATTTGTCTTTCAGTGACTCGCTTGTTTCACATAGTGTCCTCTGTTCTATCCCCTTTGCTGCACATGATGGGATTCGTGTATGTACCAGTGACTGATGGCAGTCACTGGATTCTTACTGCTCTGACAGAGTAGCTCACCAGAGTTACCTGAAGAAAAAAGGAGTTGTTGACTCACAGGCTGGGCAAGGTGTGGCGTTAGGGGTGAGAGGTCACAGCATACCCTTAATCAGGCAGCAGAGAAGGAAGCGCTCTTGCTGGGCTCGCTCTCCCTCTTTGTTCAGTGTGGGGCTTCTGGCCATGGGGGCCACCTACATTCAGGGTAGGGCTTCCCTCCTCAGCCGCAGCTCTCTGGCATACCCCTTAGACTCCTCCGGAGCTGTGGTGCCATGGGATTCTGAGTCCCATCAAGTTGAGAGATTAACATTACAGGTATCCGTGTTGTTGTCATAACTGGCCTTCGGTCACCTACCATCCTTCTCTTGCTGAGACAATGGCGGGTGTTCCGACCTCTGTGCAGACCACAGTGGTTGTTGGTGCATGCTGGAACCCTTACTGCATACCACCATGCCAAGCACCACGTGTCTTTCCCCCTCCCATCCACATACAACTTAGATGATCTTCCTGTTGAGAAAACAGGCACCGTGGGTATCCACCCCTTGCGGAGGTCACAGAGTAGTCACAGGCTTGCACGTGATCACATGGGGAGGCCTGCAGTGGTGGCAGCTGGTCTGGGTTGCTTTCCTGACTCATGTGCTCCAAGCCTTCTAGGAGAACCACGCACGGCAAGAGGAGGGCGAAAGTGGGATTTGCATCTATTAATAATGGTACGATTATAAGCGAGGGACATACTCAGCACTATATTCTAGTCCCTTGTTGGGTTACTTACAATGCTGCTGTTGAACTTAGTGGTGCCCGTGATTGCTCAGGACAGTTTGGTGACGGGCTCTGGTACAGCATTATGAGCTGGGGTACACACATTTTAAAGTGCATGTTGGGAGATCTTGGTCGTTCTCCTTGTCTATTTCTGGCATTGAAGGGTTCTCTGAAAGCTACTTTTATCTGTCTTTGCAGTGATGAACTTTAATGCTACTCTGTTGTAAGTTCTCACATAATAAGGCATAGAATTTTGTTTGGTTTGGCAGTAGACTTCTGTTTAAAATTCCTTTAATCTGTCTCTTCATGCTTTTTTTCTATTCATTTTGATAGCTAATGGTTCTGTGAAGAATTTTACATGAATTTATTACACTACCAAAACTCATTCTTTTGACCCTTCCTCTGTCTGAAGTTGCTGAAAGTGGGGTTTTCAGCAAAAGGCAGATTTTTTTTTTTTTTTTGTCTTCCTTGGAATTGTTTTCTTTTCTTCTTCAGTTGAGGAAAGTAAGAAAAAAAAAAATCATGTGCTAGGTCTTAAATTTCATTAAAATTGCTTATACCCTATCTCAGGCATTTTAAGTGGGCCATCTGTCTAAACATCTTTCTCTCTTTCCCCCACTTTTTTCCTGATCATTTCCTCGACTTATTCATGAGCCATGGGAGGGCTCCTTTGTAGTCGGCCTGTATCTATGTCTGTCTACCCCCACTGAATACATCTATGTGCTTGCATAACATAGCTTTTTGCTACTCTGGAAATTTTGTGAATCAGGTTCAGATGAATGGCCCACTTTTAGAGGTCCTTTTTCTTCCTGTGGAGATTTGCATGCAGGGACTGACCTCAGTGGCTGTGAGAATCAGCGGATCATCCTGAGAGTGCAGGCCACCCTCTGGGGAAGCTATGACGAAGCAGTTCTTCAGGATCCTTTGAGCGTTGTCTGCTCTGATGGGCCGTGCCAGCCTCAGAAAGCAGCTCCTCCGTGTTTGTGACAGGAAGCTTCTGAGACGGCCATTGTCCTATCGCGACGTCTGTGAGATGCTGGGCGTTTGTGTTAGTAGCTGTGCATTTCTAGCATCACTGTGTATTCGGATCAGTCTGCTAAGGTTTTGTGTTAGTATTGAAGTTAGTAAAGATCAGTGGTCAGCTCTTCTTTGTAAGACATGGAAAAGTTGGATTTTACTGAGCAGCTTGATTCTGGCTGTCCAGAGGTACCGGAGGCAGGCAGACTTGGGGAGAACTGTGATCGGCTTTGAGTGGCTCTGACCCCTCACTGCTGGGTTTGGTGACTTGCTGTATGTAGTCAGAGTTTCAGATCTGAGTGTGCAGACCACGCTGCACAAAGTGAGCCTTGGTCTGATGGCAGCTTTTCCACGGAGTGTGTTTCACTAGGGGAAGCTGAGTCCTGTGGAGTCTTGCTGGGGTGACTGTGAGTCAGCTCCTACCTTTGAGGAGGTTTGTAATTATTTTACCTACCCTTTTTCTCTCCTGGCTGAGTGACGTCCAGGGCCTGAGGTCTGCTAGGCGAGTGAGTTCTATCAAAAGGTATAATTCTTTTTTTTTTTAAATTTAAAAGATAACTTTAGGTATTTGTTACTATCATGTTCATGCTTTTTGAATTGAAATTGGTATTTCAAAATAACTGCTAATGTTCTCTTAGCAATTCTTCAGAACCAGGGCCCATAGCCCTCCAGGTCTGTGTCTATTTTGGTGCAATTTTGTACATTTCAGTAACTAGCATCAATGCCTGAACCATCTATTTTAGTTACCAAACAAAATCAAACTATTTTTAAACCCATGTAAAGCCATACAAAACCCTAGTACTAACCCTGCTTGGGAACCATGGCTTGTCGGCTTGGCAGCTGGAGGTCTTGCTTCTCAGTGGAACTGCTGTCTTCCATTCTCCTAGCAAAGTACTTTAGGAGAGCTTGCTGGGAAAATGCTGCTCCAGGGGCTCAGCTCAGAGGATGCCTGCCTCCTGTCACCTGGTTGTTTCTGTGGAGCCGTCTTGCAGGCTCAGGGATGTGGGTCCTCAAGTGCATCGCTGAGGGGAGAGGCGCTGAGACAGGAGCCTGTGTGCTTCCAGAAGGTCCCTCCTGGGGCAAGCTACAATGTATATGAACCAGATGTGGATCAAAATAAAGCGGTGGAAAAATAAATAGTGCTGGGGTCCTGAGGAGAGGCTGCTCTGCCTTGCCACCATCTGCAGGAGCATTTTCTGTGGGAAAGAGTCCTGGGCTAGAACAGGACGTTGGGATCAGCATTTCCCACCTCCTCTGCAGGCAAAGGATGGCTGCCTCACTGGAAACAGCCTTTGCTTTCCCTGGCTGTCACTGAACTTTAGAAACTACTATGCATATAGTGCTGGTTAAGTGGAAGGAAGGCAGTGAAATTACACTATCATTGAGGCAGTTTAAAAGGCACAGGAGAGGGAGTCCAACGCTGCTGTAATGGAAGGATTTCAGTCAGGGCCAAAACAAGAGAAGAGGCCTGGACTATCATCATGTCCGCTGTGCACGCCTCACCCATTCTCGGTGTGTGCATCAGTGCAAACACCATCGTTACTTCCATGTTCCAGGAAAGGAAATTTATTCTGTCCATTTGCTCAAGGTCAGAAGTATAGGCAGAACTCATATCACTTCTGTGGGTCAGCAGAGCTCAGCTCAGCGCTTGCTTGGTCCTCTGCCTCCTGCTTGTTTGGGTTAACTAAAGGGAGCTAGTCCAATCAGTCACACAGGCCAATGTAATTAGAAAAAAAGTAAAGTACGAAGAATTGTGGCTTTCCTCTTAAGGACTCAAATGGCAAGCAGTTCAATTAAGAATTAACTTGGTGTGAGTAGAATACCATAAAAATGTCATGATCAACAAGGTTGTAGTTTTACTATCGAAGAAAACATGGGAAAGCCACGTTACACAGTGGCCCTGGGAGAATGGACGTTTCAGCACTTGAGGTTGAGTAAGGAATTGGCCAAGTGAGGAGACAGCCCCAGCGAGGCCTTGGAACCGCCCTCTGCAGCTGCTGCACTTGGGTGGGAAGCGCCTTTACTCGCTGAGGTCTCACGCCTTTGTTCTTTACTACCGTTTACTTGTATCAACTATGAAGAGTAAATTAAATAAGCCCCGAATTATGTCAACTAATTCATTTTTATCCTCTTTGGACACTTAGCACATTTGTCACATTGTTTATTTTACTGGAATTAAAAATATCTTGAATAGTTAGCAGAAAATAATATTGCTTAAGAGAGATTGGTTTATGAAGGGCTGTCTTAGCTACACGATTCACGTTAAAACGCAGAGCATGGGTGACGGGTCTTACAAGAGGCGATGCTAGCGCAGTTACTGCAGGGACGCTGTTGTCTCCTGAGTGTCTGCCTTCTAAAAGTCTCTCCAGTGTATGTCTTGAGGGCTAGTAAAATGAAATGCAAAGTGTGACTTTTAACTCTTTTACTGCACACACTAATGTGAAGGGAAATTATTTATTGATAGAGAATAAAATATAATGAACCCTTTGCTTCCTTTCTGCTTCAGAGTGCCAGTTGTTAAGCCGGAAGTGGCTGAGTGGGAGCTCTCCATAAAGTTACACAGGGAAGACCACACTGTGGTGGCATCGAACAGCGGGTCAACATTTGCCGTGAGTTTTGCTTGTTTGGGGCAGTCCTGAGTTACCTGGGCAGACTGTGAACGCTTTTAGCCTCGCCAGGGTCTCTTCCTCGCCTCCAGCAAGCTTTGTCTTTCTGAGCTGAATTTAAAGGGAACTTCTTTCCTTCTGTGGTAATTACAGGACACATTTCTCAATTTAGCTGCGTTTTAAACTACCTGATTCATTTTTCTTCATATTCACGTGAGAGTCACAGTGACAGAGAAGCCTGTGATTGTCATTGCAGACTCTGACAGCTCTGCTAAGTAGCCAGAAGCCTTGGCTAGCAACACCTCGAGACTCCTGTGGGCTGTTCTTAAGGAAGCCCTCGCCTCTCGATGTCATTCTTTGTGTTATGAAGAATACAAACTCTTTGCGAAGCACCCAAGACAGACTGTAGTGGTTTAAATTCTACTCTCTGGTGAGCACAGGTCCAGGTTTCAGTGTTAAGATGGCAGCGTGGATGATACGCCTAAAATCGTTGACTGCAGTTCACCAGATAGACACTGAAGAGTTGCCGCGTACGGTGGGCTCTGTGCTTCCGGAATCAGTGGAGCTGCTGTGTAGTTAGCTTTACCCTTGTCTCTTCTGTGACTTAGTTGCTTTGAGAAACACAGTATTTATGGGAAACAGATGACTTTTGTCAGAAGACTAGAGCATAATGGAAACCAAAACAATGTAATTTCATTCAAAATCTGATGGATGGAGGGGCCTTGGAGTTTCTTGGTCTCACTGAGAAATGGACAAAAGTTAGGAAATTGTGAGAATCCATTTATTGAAGTATTTGCTGCATACCTACTGTGTGTCAAGTAAGTGATGGGTATTCTTATACGATAGACTCACAAATACTTGAGACATAAGGTAGCTTAGGTTTGTGTTTTGTGGTGAAATGCTAAAGCTTTGCTGACTGAAGGATTCTTGGTCTCACAAGTAAAAGTGCTGACGGAGTGAAGCCGTGATTGCACTACTGTCTTTTAGGATGTGTTCGTGGCTCTTACGGTCCTCCCATCTCTAGGATTCTATTCCCTAAATAGCTTTGTAAGAGATGCTGAATGGAGTGTCGACTTGAGGACCACTTCCTGGGGGAGGGGTGACACACAGAGTGTGACCTGAGCATACCACTCAGTTCTGTGTCCAGGCCCCGGTGAAGCCTGCCTGTGCCCTACGTCCTCATGATCCGACTGTTTAAGCCTCCCCTACTCCATAAAATTCTCTCCTGCTTTATATTATGGCCCAGGGAAACAGTTTGAAATAAGGGCATTAAAATCATCCTGGAAAGCATGTGATGTAAAAACCTGTCCCTCGCGTCTCATTTGGCTGTTGTGGGATGTGTTATTTCCTGGAGCAGAGCTTGGGCCCATGTAGTACACCTTGTAGGGGTGAGGTAGGCCAGGCTCCTGCAGGCTGCCCCATGTGGGGTGAGTTAGACAGACTGGTATGAAGCTTGTGTAGTGTGGCACCTTTTGGTCACTAAGGGGAGAACTATGGTTGTTTCCTTGAGTTTTTTTGCCAAGAACAAAATTAACCTAAAAGTAACAGGACAGGTTTGGATTACTGACTTCAGAAAAAGTATAGACAAAGTCGTGTTTATTTAGTTCACAGTAAATCTCAGGGAATGCATAATTTTAAAGTTTACATTTGGGGGCATTTTATATATATATATATATTATATATATACTTAATATATATATATACTTAATATATATATATTATATATATTATATATATTATATATAATATATATATATATTATATATTATATATATATTATATATATATATATATATTAAGTATATATATAATTTTAAATAGTTAGCAATTTAGTTTTTGTTTCTAATAACAACTTCTTTTAAATTTTAACTTTTTACAATATATTCATTTTATATCCTGATTTAGCCCCCTCCCTCATCTCCTCCCAGTTCCACCCTCCCTCCTTCTTCCCCTCTATCCCTTTCCCCTAGTCCACTAAAAGGAGTTCTCCTCCCTGCCATCTGACCTTAGCCTATCAAGTCTCATCAGGACTGCCTGCATCCCCTTCCTCTGTGGGCTGTCAGGGTCTTTTCATTAGGGGAAAGTGATCAAAGAGCAGGCAGCTGAGTTCATGACAGAGGTGGGCCCTGCTCTCCTTTCTCGGGACCCACAGGGAGACTGAGCTGCCTATTGGCTACATCTGAACATGGGTCTAGGTCCTCTCCATGCATGGTCCTTGGTTGATGCATCAGTCTCTGCAGGACCCACTGGGCCCAGATATTTTGGTTTTGTTGGTCTTCTTGTGGAGCTCCTGTCCCCTCCAGATCCTTCTATCTCCTACCCCTTCTTCCATAAGATTCCCTGCACTCTGCCCAAAGTTTGGCTGTGAGTCTCAGCATCTGCCTTGATCATGGGGGGGAGGGGTGGCATTTTAAACTCTGAAGATTTCAAATGGAGAGAGTACAATATGTATAGATTTCCTACTAAAAAGGAAAAAAGAAAGAAAGAAACAATTGTAGGTGCAGTTGAATCCTCTTCTTCCACCTTCTGTTCTGCTCCTGCTCCCCAGGGGTTGGCAGCTGTCTGGAAGTGTCACATATCCTCGTATGTACTCAGTATGTGCCCACACTACAACACTGAAAAGGAGGAACAGGGAAGTGCAAACATATACACACGCACACACAAACACACACACACCATATATACATACACATACACATTGAAAAAATTGGCAGTTGCTTCGGTATCGTGGTACAGCTAGTCACGTTTCATGCATGGTCATTCAGCAAAGTTGCTTGAGGAAATTCAGACCCAAGACCAACCAATGGAAGAGAAGGAAGAGGAAGAGGAGGAAAAGGACAAGGAGGTCAAGACTTTTTCTTTTAGGAAGAAATTGCCTTATAAATTGTCATTATCCTTGGCCATCGATGGGCTGTGGAACAAAAGTCATCTTACATCTGATAGACGTCCAAACTGAGTATTTGGAGGAGAGGAGAATAAAGGAGATTGTGAAGAAGCACTCTCAGTTTATTGGCTACTTCATTACTTTCTTGTGAAGAAGGACTGTGATAAGGAAGTCATGATGAGGCCGAAGAAAAAGGCAATAAGGAGGAACAGAGAAAAAGAAGAAAAGGAGCCTGATGATAAGCCTTATGTTGGTTCTGATGAAGAAGAAAAGGATGGTGATGAGAAAAAGAGGAAGATAAGGAAAAGTACATTGATCAAGAAGAACTCAACAACAGCAACAACAAAAGCCTATTTGGACCAGAAATCATGCTGACATTACTAATGAAGAATATGGAAAGTTCTTCAAAGCTTAACTGATGACTGGGAAAAACATTTGGCAGTAAAGCAGATTTGGAATTCTGGGCCCTTTTTTTTTGTCCCAAGACCTGCTCCTTTTGATCTGTTTGAAAACAGAAGGAAAAAGAACAGCATCAAGTTGTACATACACAGAGTTTTCATCCTGGATAACTGTGAGGAGTTAATCCCTAGTATCTGAAATTCATTACAGGAGTGGTAGATTCTGAGGATCTCCCTCTAAATATTTCCCATGAAATGTTGTAGCAAAGCAAAATTCTGAAAGTTATCAGAAAGAATTTGGTCAAGAAATGCTTAGAACTATTTACTGAACTGGCAGAAGATAAAGAAAACTAGAAAAAAGTTTTATGAGACGTTCTCAAAAATATGAAGCTTGGGATTCATGAAGACTCTCCAAATCGGAAGAAGCTTGCCGAGCTGTTGAGATACTGCCTGTCTGCTTTAGGTGATGAGGTGGTTTCTCTCAAGGACTGCTGCACCAGAACGAAGGAAAACCAGAAGCACAGCTATTTTATCACAGGTGAGACCGAGGAGCAGTTTGCTAACTTGGCGTTGGTGGGACATCTCTGCAAGCATGGCTGACAAGTAGCCTGTCTGACTGATACCATTGAGGAGTACTGTGTGCAGCAGTTGAAGGAGTGTGAGGGCAAGACCTCAGCGTCAGTTACCAAAGAAGGACTGCATCTTCCAGAAGATGAGGAGAAAAGGAAACAGGAAGAGAAAGACAAATTTTGCAAACCTGCAGACTTATGAAGCTGTTTTGGAGAAGCAGGTTGAAAAGGTGGCTATGTCAGACTGCTTGGTGATGCCCCATGCTGTGTTGTCACAAGCACGTATGGGTGGGCAGCGGCCAGGGAGGGAATCATGAGAGCTCAGGCCTAGGGACAACTGAACAGTGGGCTTCATGGCAGCAAAGAAACACATAGAGATAAACCCTCATCACTCCATGACTGAAACCTTAAGGCAGAAGGCAGAGGCTGACAAGAATGCCAAGTCTGTGAAGGACCAGGCCATCTTGCTCTATGAAACTGCACTCCTGTCTTCGGGCTTCAGTCTGGAAGGTCCCCAGACACATGCTAACAGGATCTACAAGATGATCAAGCTGGGTCTAGGCATTGATGAGGGTGATCCTACTGTGGGTGATAGCAGTGCTGCTGTAACTGGAGGGAGCATGGAAGAAGTAGAGCAAGCTTCACCAGAAGAGCTGTGAGTTTTACACTTACCCTCATTCCTTATTACAGAATATTTTCTAGGACTTTTGTTTATTTTTGTTAACATTTAAAACATCTATGCATGAAAACTAAGGGAAGATAAAAACTACTTTCTACTTGTGATGCTGTGATACTATAGGTTTGATCCCACAGGTTGGTAGAATGTTTAAGTCATAATGTAGCCTACTGTCAACCTTGTGGTCTGAAGTGTTTGGCTGTGAGCTGATTCCTTAGTAGACCAAATAGTTGTCACTTAAGTGTTCTGAGATACACATGTTTAGAAAGGACAAAAATTAACATGGCTTAAGTTTCATTTTATACTTTTTTTCATGCCCTGTTCTTTCAATTCTGCGTGTACTAGTCTTAGAAGTAAGAACACAAGTTTAAAAAAAACCTGACAGAGGAACTCCCCTTGTGGCTTGTTTTCCAAAGTGCCGAGAGCAAACGCTAAGCTTCTTCCCTAGGTCTTATGACTCAGCAAGGCTTGTGAAT